CTTTATTTCCTTGTGAAGAGAAAGTATTGACCTTTTGTAATCCTACTATTTTCCTACAGTGCCGACAAATTTGTCTTGCTTTCATGGCTTCTTCATGTGATTTAAGTGCAGAATGGAGGTGTGCTTTGGCTAGAAGAAATAAAAAATAATGTGTTATTAACACAGTCACTGTTTGGAAGCATGACATAAAAGGACAATTTATTCATCAGGATACAAATCATTGCTTGCATTGCCATAATGCCATAATATTTTTTTCACATGTATCTGCACTTTTCAGTCAATAACATTATATAAATAATAAAATATTATTACCACTCCACCTTGCATTTATTAACTATATAAATGTTTTTGACTTGCTGAAAAGCTAGAAGTGACATCCAAATCAGAGGATTGATAACTGGCTACCTAGCAAATAAACCATATTCCTATCTGGCTAAAGATTTTTAACCTCCAATGATTTGAGGTAATTGTTTGTTCATCAGAGTACTACTGTAAATGTGCTTCTGCTGAACATTCAAGCAATAAAAGCAAATAAAGTCAAACCTCCTGTAAGCGCTTAAGGGAGGTGGTGGCTTACGAGAGCTTAGACCATATTGGGTCTAAATATTGCCTCATTAGCATATGGTAACTGCAGAGACTTACCTCCTGTTTTAAATGTTTTATTCATATGAAAAGTCAATTTCGAAAAAAATACAACACTACGATATGGACAAAATGGCAGCAAAGCATAACTTCATGAACATATTACTTTGTTTAAGATAACTATTATGTTACCTTGCTTTTTTCTGATTGATTTATCGTCCCACTGAGACACGTTTAATGAAGAGATCACTGCTTCTTCTTCTTTATCATTGCTGGAACTCTCTAAGAAAATGAAAAATCAAAAACAGAAAGATAAATAATTACTCATTAATTACTAAAATGAGCAATCAAGATTGCAAGATATCATAAAGCAAAATTCTGGGTATAAACCCCCCATTATATGCCCTCTTGAGGAAACAATTCAAGACCACTTTACTATGCGTACTAAGTCCCATACTATTTCCAGCTTGGCATATAAACTTACCAACACTTTTAAGAAGTCCTTCAGCAACAAAGTAATGTGACAAGGCTTTGTAATGAAGACTCATTATCTAAGACATGAAAGCAAGGAAATGCTGAGAAATCATTGACTGTGTGTGAGGGTAAAATGAGAACATCGTTGGCTTGAGGCCATGTTGCAAGCATGGACAAAGTGTAGCAGGAGTCATGTACATATAAAATGACTGCTGCCTGGTCGTTCACATACTCACTATGGTTAGTTTATTTGCCTTTATATAAAATAGCTAAGTGTGCCCAGACTACATATGCAGGTTGAGTTATTGTTTCTATAGGACTGTCTCAGTGAGGTGGAACAATGGTATGACACACACTACACTGATTTAGGGAAGAATCAGTTGGTTTTTATTTTTTAATTATTCATTTAGGGGCTCTTCTAATAATATTGGCTATGTTAACAACAACAACAAAAAAACAAAACAAAACAAATTAAAAACAAAACATGTAGGCCTTGCTCTAAATCTAGAGTTAACTCACAGACATCATGTTCTTCCAAGACAATGGAACACAACTCAAGCAGATTCCAGCATTCATTGTCATCTGGGCCTTTTTGTACCTTTGACTAACCTAATGGTAAATAAAAGAATTGCTGTTTGTGGACGAAGTGAACGATAAAGACTGTGCACATGTAACAGTGTACTGAAGAATTTTAAAACAAAAGTCCTACCTCAACACACTCCTGTGCTGCACTTATCTTGTGTGACAATGCATCTTGTATTCCTTCAAGACTTCCCTCTTCCCACATACACACCTGTGCCTGGGCCTAATGGGGAGCATGTTAATTACTTCACATGTGAATCTTTTACTAAATATCATATGCCCTTGATCTTAATTAAAGGCTGGAATTAACTTACTAAATAAATAATGGCTAGAACGGACTGGTAATAACGGTCAACCACTGGACAAGGGCCAATCAAAAATTTCCCCTGTACTGCACAATCCTAGCAGAAAGTTAGACATTTTGGCCAGACAATGTTTTTAATTATCACTGACTATTAAGATCAATTTGCAGATGAATTTAAATCTACTTTTATTTAATTACACTCTTTCTCTGGAATGTACTTTTGTGCTTTGAGAATTGACCCATTTCTGACCACTGTTTATTTTGGTAAATTCCATTTAATACCTTGCCATTCCGCTAGACATTACAGCCAGCCAGTGACATTCATGGTGATGTGGTTCATGATGAGCAAGCCAATCAAAAGGATATTGCTTTGATATACCAGCAGATTCTCACAACTTAGTAACATTGTGCAATTCCAAAATATCCATATTCCCTCCGGAGAAGGGATTGGAATTTCCTGAGGGGTGAGGGGGAGGGGGTTCCTTAAGACCAAAAAAACTTAAAGAAATGTATGAAGCTTAACTGGAATTTCCAGAAGGGTGGGGGAGGTAAGGATATTTTCTGGAACTACACATTAAAGAATGGGAATCAGTTTGAAAAGGAACAAATTTGTGCTTGCGACTCACCAACATGACTGCCATCAGCATGTCCATTACCTCTGGTGTCAAGTCTGCACTTGGAGAGTTGACAAAATTGTCTTTTATAAACTTGAATACACCTGCAGGTATTTACAAAGCATCTTAAGAATACATGTAAAGACCATAATGTGACATTACTGTGCCCCCATCCCATCTTAAAGTCAACTGCTCAATATATACCCATGTTCTGAACCAACTTTACAAGATAACTTACAGTCCATGATTACATAATAATTAAAGTCCTGTTATGTACAAGCAGAGTAATGAATTCTTCACTGCTCAAGCTTGCTTGATACAATCTACACTAGTCAAGAATAACTTCTATATATCTTAATAATACCATTATTTTTTATTTATTTATTTATTTATTCGTTTATTTATTTATTTATCTATTTATTTCCTTATTGTATTAACATTTATTCATATATAGTGCTATTCCTACATTCATGGTGCTTTACAAAGAAATGTATAAAACTATACAATCAGTAAAACAATCTATACACAAAAGGAACAAGGTTTAAAAACTAAGTACAGTTTGAAAATATTAAGTAAACAATGTCTACAAAAACAATGAGTACCTGTCCACAAATAGTTTAAAAAGCTATGTTTTAATAAGGCCCTTTTGAAGCTCTCGATAGGTGAAAAGCTGGGGTAGATCTGGTTAGACTGTTGGTACCATTTCTTAAATTGATGTTGGAAAGTGATGAATAAGAACTCTGAGAGATTCTAATTGAGTATTCTATGAGCCACAGACTTAAGTCGTATTAGCCTGACGGATGCAGAAATACAGACAAGAACAAACCAATTAGTTAGCTACCTGCGGCTTTGTTAAAAGCATCAATGGCCACACTTAACCCAGATTGTGTTCTTCTGTCCTGCAAATAAATACAAACTTTCTTAAATGCCATGACACACATCTCTATTATTACTGACATTAATAATAATACAAAATTATTAGTAAAAAGAGTATGTTCTTTTGGAAATGTGAATCTAAGTTCAATATTGTCTCTCTCATCATGGTCTATCTTCTGCTTGTAAACATGTCTTTCTTGAAAGGGGAAAAATATTATCATCAATTTTTGGCTTAAAAAATTTTAACATCCAAATTGACAGTTTGGGAGTGCAATCTGTTAGAAAGTTCTACAACAGAAACAAATACATTACAAGTCTCATTCCTACTTGTGCTTACTATGATAGTCTAATAATATTGTTAAGTAAGGATAAAAGATCTTGTTCAGGAAGTTTATCTATGAAATTGTGTGAGATGTATTTGATTTGGTTAGATGTAACTAATAGACAAAAGTGTAAATCATAATTACTTTCTGCTGTGTTTGAGTCCAACAAAAATGCTGACAGAATAGTTAGATAATGTTTTAAATACACATCATTTATGTACATGTATCATTCATGGAGTTTGTTTCTTACTTGTTTTGCACCAATTTGACTCCAGATAGAACCAATGTTGAAGAGAATGCTAGCCTGAAAACAAATAGATTGCATGAGAGAATCCCGTACACACCATACTGTACACACATGGCAGACAAGAAACTGGAATGTGGGATTTAGTTAATTACACGTACTGCTACCTTGTGAGTCATTATGGAAAAAAATGGACAATCAAGAGCTGTTTGTCACTCTGCTAAAAGCATCAAAATAATATCTTTGATCTTTTAATACATAAACTTAGGCTATCACTCATGACAATCAATATGTAAACCTGACTGCCAATTTTTAAAATTTTAAATGGAGGAAAACAAAATTCTGCTGCAAATTTCTGGACCCTATAATAGAGTCAAAGTGACTCCCTGTGGGAATTCTTTGGAGTCACAGGTACATTTGTGGCATAGAATACACCAAGCATATTTATAATCCCTGATATAATGCAGAAGTAAAGATCTGTTGCCACTGTCTAATCACAACATTTTGCTCAACCTCATTCAATAAATTGTTAAATGTTTGGGTTTTTGACTAAATGAGTGACAACTTAACTATGGTTTGTGTGCAAGAGTACAGTTGGTGTCTTATGGCCTGCAAATGTGATGTGTAAGTTATGTTAAAAAAATGTTCCAGTTACCTTTTCAAATGCAACAGATCTCTGTATTTTTGGCAATCCCGTTGTGGTGTCAAACCTGGAAAAGAAGCAACTATTTTTTTATTTACAGGTCAAGTAGTAGCACAAGGGTTTCATTAACATTTTCAGCAGGATGGCAGCTGGTTACATTTACAGGCATCAAAACTTTTTGAACTAAATTCCTTTATAAGAAAACCTTTCCCATCCATGGTCAAACCAGCCAGGCAAATCATCCTCACAGCTGGTCAATTTGCCCAGTGTCCGGCCCTTATTGAAGCCCCTGGTAAGGAATATCTTATAATTTATTCGAACTGCAGAGAAAGATAAGACATGATTGATCATCGCAGCCACACACATCTAAGTTATGCAGCTCTTAAATACAGCCTGAACAGGATCCCATTCAAGCCTGATTTTTTTTTTCAGGCTTAATTTCACTGAATGGAGAGGGCCCTGTGATGACCAATCATGTCTTCAAAACTACAAAACCTTTCATAAAAAAATTTGCCGTTTTTAATGACCACATGCATGAATAAAAAAGAAAGTGGTTGCTAACTTATTGACAATAACTATTATCAATAACTTGTACAATGAGAGCCAGTTTAAGACCAGGCATGATAAAATGTTAGTTTCTACTTACCAATGGAAGTAAACTGGCATGATGCATCCCTTTCTTTTGGGAAAGAATTTCCTCTCCACAAAGTACAGTTGATTGTAGTACATGTACAAAGCATGAATACCTGCTTCATCTCTGCTGGCCTTACACACGGCCTCCTGAAACATTCAGTTTTATGACCATCAATCATACTCTTGCACATGTGCACTAAGTTACTAAAACAATGACTGCCATAAAGGACATTATAATATCTCTTAGTTAGTACAAGCGCTGTGATTGGTCAATTTAGTGGGGCATACTCTCCTGTACAGCCTGCTAAAATTTAAAGTTGGTTTGGTTGCAAAACTGTTTTGTGATTTATCCCAAGTGTTCTTAACTTTTATGGCAAGTAAAAGTTTAAAACTTTCTTTTACTCTAAATTGTGTATTAAAGCGTGCTAACAACTTAAAAACGATTTAAAATTGACTCACTTTGCTTTCAAAGTGCGTCAGAAATTTGAAGTCGTTCCGCATGAATAGAAATCGTTCCTGAGACTGTCAGAAAGGCAGTAGAGATATAATAAATATCTTACTAACCTTATTTTCTCGGTCCATACTGTAAGGTACGGATCCTCGTTTTTTCCCCTTCAATTTATGGCCCGTGCGCTTTGCGCTTGGGCCATAAATCAAAGGGGAAAAAACTTGGTCCATAACGTACAGTACAGACCTCAAACTCGGTTAGTAAGAGGTATTTATGGTATTTAATGGCTACTACATGTAACATTTACAATGGGACAAACCTTTCTGAGATTTTCAAATAGCTCAAGTTCTTTTCCATAATTTTCTGGAGTTTCACTGTAATGTTCTAAAATAAAGTCCTGAAAGGAAAGAAAATGCTGTTATTTATTTACTAGGTATTTTTTAAGCTTAAATTCATTTCATCAGTCTATGCAAATATTAAAATAATAAAGGCAGAAAACAGGAAATAGATACAGGATTTCTGTTGTTGTCTTAAACACTGAATCGGGTTTAGCTTTCAAGCCTAAAAGTGAGAATAATAAACATAAATACAGGTGAATAACTACGCATGGCATGTGTTATGCACAGCTAGTAATATACTGTTAAAATATGCCTCTTTTCACATTAAAATCAATCTCATCGAGAAATGAAGAGAAGCATTAAATTCAGTGACTGGATTCATCTTTAGACCTTTAGGCTGACATAAATTTGATCAGACCTTATTTTTAAATCTAATTAGTGAGTTCTTGCTAATTTATTTTTATTTAGTGATTTTCACATAATCTCTATTTACAAGCCCAGTAATAATGTTTACCACACTAGACAAGTTGCAGACTTTTTATAGGACATTGTCTTTTTTTGATTGACTAGCATCAATACTACATTTTGAGCAGTTGTCAGTAGTGGTTTTGGTGTGGCTGTCACAAAAAGGAGGCCTTGCATTGAAAAAAAATTGAGTTAGATAATACACAGCTTGAAATAGACAGTTTTTAATAGTCTTGAAACCTTTCATTGTCTAAAAAATTAATTTTACTTGTTTCAAATTTAGAAGACATATTGTGGATGACTTGACATACTTTACTGGGCTGGTAACGATAACAAAAAGGTCACCATCCCGTGTTGTTATTCATTTTTAACTAGCAGTATTTTGATTGGTCAAAGTTCTTCAAACACTGCTTATAACATTCTCACAAACCACATGGATCACTTAGAAGAGGGTGGTAAAGGGGGGGTCATGATCACGTTTCACGGAATATAAATTGGTCCTTTCACAATTCACGGGAATTAAAATCAGCATTTCACGTTTCATGAAAAAAGTCATCTTTTGACACAAACTTACATAACTTATGACATTTGAAAGTTACGCCCAAGCACAGCCTTGCTAGATGTCATTATCATCTGTTCACTTCTGGTTCTAAGTGCAACAAAAAGAAATCCAAACAAAAACACGAAGAGGAATGATTGTCCTGTCGTGGTCATGCAATGTTGTTAATTACTGTCGAAAATAATTGAAGACACAACCAGAATCACGGTTCACAACGAATTAAATACTTCTCATTTCACAGAGAATTATTTTGGAAAATCACAGTTCACGGCTTCTAATGAAATCACAATTCACGAGCAAAAAAAAAGCCATTTCACATTTCACAAGAAAAATATTAAGCCATTCACGAATCACGAAAATACCTTTACCATCCTCTTAGTAATGATACATGTATTTTGAGTGGAATGATCATGTGTGTTGCATGTGAGTTTACACAAACCTTAAACTGAGGCTTGAAAGCAAGCTCTTTTGTTTCTCTGAGACCCACAGCAATCAAAGGAATCTGATGCTCAACACTCCTGTATTTGTTGACCAAAATAATTAGAAAATACATAAGAATAATATTTTAACCACAAAGAAACAAAAAAAAAAATCATTTTAATTAAAAATATCTGGCCAATATGTATATCTTTATTTAATATAATTATTCAGTCAAAGATTAGCAGCTCTTAGTCTAGTGAGTGGTTGAACAGCAGCCAAACCACTTGGTAGACTCTGAGACTGGAATGCTTGGCAGAAAATAAATGCCCCAAAATGTGGCCTGAAATATGTAGCACATAGACAATCTTTTAATTTATAATATAGATAGGACCCTCCGCACACTCTGATTGGTCAAAAACCCATGTTTTATCAGAGTATAAAACATAGAAAAAGCGTGATGTTTTATTGTTTTTCGCCATATTACCTATATCATAAGCACATGAAGAAGCCTAAGCTGTGTATTACACTGTGTTAAAACATTCTGGACATTTGAGAACACTTGAGAAATGTAGAAAACACTCACCTGTGGCTCGTGTTTTCTACATTTCCCTCGTGTTCTCAAATGCCCGTCGTGTAATACACGGCTTAGGCTTCCTTATTTGTTAAATATGATATGGGTGCTTGGATGAATATGTACGATCCCCTGAGAATTTACAGCTCTCAAGTTGGAGTTAAGCTGTTTCACCTGCGATACAAAATGTGGCCAGATGAAATTTAGACTGATTTAAACTCGAGAAAATTGTTGTCCAGCAGCATCCCTCGTTGATGTGGGGATGTGGGGTTCTGCAGGGAAGCCCATGAATTTACAGATCTCCTTCTGAGGTCAGGCCATTTCACTCACGTTGCTTCACATTTATAAATGCTTCTAAAGGCTTTGCCCCCACCCATAGCATCTCTCCCCAAAGTTAGAAAAGGGTGAGTACTGCTATTGATTTCCACTTATATATTTCAGTGCAGTGGTACCTGGTGGTGCCGCTCACAGTTTGCAATGGTTACCCTGCTTGATGGGCCTATGATGCTACTGGTAAAATTGCCTTTTGTTGATACAAATACCCACAGAGTAACAGGTTTGTTACAGGTGTGATGATAACAGCAACAGATGACTCAAAACTTAATGACAGCCCTTCTCATTGTATATGTTAAACAATAAAGTAAGAGTCACCTGTCAAACTGATAAATATCCCAGGTGCTGTTGATTCCTTCTAGCTCCTCCTTCAGCATATCCAGCTGAGAGTTGGCAAAACTCAACTCTGTCTTAGCAGCAAGCTTTGTTTTCCGGTCATTTGTTATCCTGTAACATAACTATCCCTTTTTATCTGTAGTAGTAAGTTGCAGTCAGTGCAATTTTCATTTACTTCTTCCAAAAACAGCCTATTTTATTATCTCAGACACTCACTAGTTTCCCTGGTAAAAATTATTAATATTAACAGCTGACATCACATCATTCCATATTACAAAATGGTCAATAAATCGTTTTCACTGTCATGCAATAAAAAATGATTTGAAAACCATTCAGTGGATAAAGTCAAGAAATTGTGATATTATAAGAAATAAATAAAGAAGACACTTCTCCAAGTTTTAGGTCTGTACGTTTTCCCAAACCGCAGATATTCATCAAAATGTTTCGCAGAAATTTACAGAGCTCAGTATGGAGTTGCCACGTTGGTGCACCTCTGTTGTGCATCAACATGGCGACTGAAAAAGATTGTAAACATCTGGAACTTAATTTGGCTATCTAGGCGACTGATTGTCTGTACTGAACAAACAAGCATTTATATAAGCACTTTTCCTAATGCTCTAACTTCTAAAAAAGCTAAAAATCATGAGATGGATATATATTTTTCAACAAACATGATCGTAGCTTTGTGTCACGCACCGCCATGACTCTGAAATTCAAAATACGCTGTTTTCCAAACAAAGCACACGATTGAGCTGTAAAATTGTAAAGGTATAAATCTACCCCCTCTTATGCCTGATGGGGATAAAAACTTTCCTGGCTCTTTAGTTTTCGATTTTAGAAAATGATGACATCATGTGAGATCTATAGCTAAAAGTAGCATGACTAAATATGGACAATGTCTCATTTAAGGTGGCTCAAAACAGTAATATTTCCATGAGACGCCTGGGCTCTAATGCACACTTCAGCGCTAGGCATCACACGATCACCCGAGGGGTCGCGAGAAAGAGTGCAAGATTTCAAGTTTGCAAAACTCACCACAAACATGGCGGCACGAGGCTTACTTCGTAAAACTTTGTTTCCACCTAGTTTAGTGAACTGTTTGCGATATCGTTTATTTTTATTTTGGAAAAGTCCTAGAAAAAAAGTCAAATTGGGTTATTCCAGAAAAAATACATACCACCCCCGCCTGACAGATGACAAACTGGAAATTCTCACAGGAGGGGGGGTTGATGGCTCGGGAAATCCGGGCGGGAGGGGGGGATCTGAACCTAAAAATTCTTCCTCAGGGGTCACTTTTAACTTTAACCTCGATCGATATATTTTAACCACTTAAAAAATAACTTTGCAATGGGAAATCTTGTAGTCTTTCAGTTTANTTTTAAACACTTAAAAAAAGAACTTTGCAATGGGAAATCTTATAGTCTTTCAGTTTATAGTGTTCTTACCCCCCATGCTTTAAGTTTACCTTCATAGGCCCTGTCAATCATGAAGAACCAGCGCGATAAATGGATAACAACAGCTTTATGACTGGATGAAACACCGTTGACTGAGCATGCAATGACTGGAACATTTTTACGGTACCCAGGCCACCCCCGCCTGTGCTTTGTAACATCCTCAAAAATGCGAAGAAAAGGCGATTAGGCTGAGAGTCAGTTGTACTTTTCTGTTTTATTCAGGCAACCCAAGAACTCGTTTTGCTGGCTAACATGCATATGCACAATTTGCGTATAATTTCTTTCTTACCTCTTACGATGTGTAACTGTAAAATCGTGGATACGATACTGCCATGCAAAATAATTAGATCCACTGAAACAATTACTTTTCTTGTAGAATCAAGGTTGTCCAAAATTTTGCTCGTGGTAAATGCCGCGATATACCCCAATATTTCTGCATAAGCACAGGCAAGGATTTATTTTTTCAATGCTTTTGAGCACCACTGAAATAGCGACCGATATGGTAAAAGACAAGTTAGTGGAAGCCAGAAATTAACGTGGGTATTACGCATAAAAATTTGAATACTTGAAAGAAAGGAACAGTTCCAGTTGACCTACAGACCCATAAAGGTAACAAAATTTAAAATTAGTCTAGTTCGAAAAGCTTTCTTAACAAGCTTAAGTAAATGTCACACTAACAGTCCTAACAACGGGAACTCGATCTTGTAAACACGTGCCAATGCAGGCTGTCTTGTCACTGAAAACTGAAATTATAGTTTTTATTTATAATCGCCTTCAGGACTTTTTTCGCTGTAATTTTGCTAACATTTACATCATTTTTAAGACTTATGAATTTCTTATCTTGTACATTTGTTGTGGTGCAGAAAAAGGCAAATGGCGTTTTAGAGGAGAGTGTGAGATCACTCAAACGTTAAACACGATCATTTGAATAACCTGATTTAAAAAATGTTGAAATTTAACCTGCAAAATTCGCAATATTTGCAGAGCTTTAAAAATTATAATAAACAGGGATCTTTTGGATGAAATGCTACGTCTTTCTATTGCCTGTTGTTTCCAGTTAAGGCCTTTTTAAAAAAAAAAGTGGAAATCCGGGTGGGAGCGGGGCTCTAGCGGTCTGGAAAATCCAGTCAGAAGGGTGGTCAAAAATGCTTGTCATCCATCAGGGGGGGTGTGTATTTTTTCTGGAATAAGCCATTTCTGGGAATTTTCATGGAAATTTTTCGGGGCAAATTTTACTGGAAGACGTTTGGTAAAAAACAGCCAATTTCACAGGAATTTTCTGGGCAAATTTCACTGGAAACCAATTGGTTTTGTCCTGATTTGATGAACGTTTTTAATGAAAAGAGACAGCAATGTTGCCAATTTTTTTTTGGAAAATGATGAGTGTCATTAACCTATGCAATAGCCTTTGTAATCACATGAGAAACATGATATCATTTATGAATAAAAACAATGGAACCTTTTCTTTGTTTTTATTCCAATATATTTTAAACCCAATAAATACTTTATTAACCACACTTATTCGGTCCAGATTGCTGGATATTGGCCTTGCTTTTTTTGGCATTTTCATGGACTTTGACTCTGTCTTGGTCCATGAACACGCAAAAAATAAACTTGGCCAATATCCAACCATCTTGGCCTCAGGTTTGAATTGGTCAATCATCTTTATATCATACAACCTAATTCAATTTGATCCGATTGCAAACTTTCAAATATGTAAATCTAAAATATAGAAGAGGGCACTCGCATTCTTCTCTATCAAAACAAACAGACCCTGAAATATGTGTATCAAATTAATTTACAATAGTTATACAACAGAAAATTCTAGAAATGACAAGCCGACACCTAAATAGAGAGACCAAAGGTTTATTGAGCTTATGTACATTCGCAAGCTTTATTAGGTTAAACTGAATTAACTAATAATTTTCAAACCTGAGGGCTTTCATCAAATTCTCTGCTCCGTCTCGCAACTTCGTCTGCTTGAATATTTTCTGATTTAAAACTTGTCTTTTATGTTGTAACTTCCATCTGGCAGATGTCTTGCGAGAGCCTAGTTCACTGTCATCCTAAGTGGCATAAAGTCAAATGTGGATGTATGAATGAGGATTATGAAGCTTAAAGATTTTCCAAATAAAGAAGACTGAGTAAAATAATTTAGCACGCAAAATTGAATATTGTAAAATCAAACTCAGCGACCACTCGCCGGAGCTTAGCTTAGCGTACAGTATATGCTGAAGTTTTGTTTCGTGATAACAGACCCAAATGAGCAAATATTTTTAATGATAGAAGGCTTGAAATTAGGGGGCTTCCCGCCGAAACGACTCAATCACAGAAGTGATATTGGGCATATTATTACTTATTAAAGCTTACGTACCGACAAGAGTGCTGTTTCTCTAAATTAAGAAGTTAAAGTTGTCGCTTACCACTTCAAGCGAGCTCCCACGATCATTTCTCGCCTCACCGTTCTCTGACATTTGAAGTCCGTTCGCCACGGGGAACATGGCGGTCATGTCTCGTTTCAACTAGAGTTTGTCATGAACTACCAGAACAAGATTTTTAAAGCGAGCACGTCAACTATACCGGCGAATCACTTAAAGTCATTGTTTGTGTCAGTTTTTGTTTCCCTGCATGTTTATATTTCCGTTCAAATTCCAACATTAAAGAATCACTCTGAAGTTTCAATCACATTAGCACAACAAAGGTGTGCGGTCAAGAAGCACGTGATCGACATGCTACTGTACACAGCTCTCCCATCCCTCGAGCAGAAAAGCTTGGCAATAGTAGGCCCGCACAGCGTACAAAGTAGGATCTCCAACAATGTTTTTATTAGGAACTTTAGAGTCAGAAAGTCAGAAGATTTGCACATCAAAATGTTACAGCAGTTCAATAAAATGAGAATTGTTTTTAACAATTGAGAAGGACTAAGATCATGAACAAATTGAAAGATTAACTGCTTATGGACATAAATCATTTCCCAAAAGCATCTTCATCAGAGCATTCAAATGAAATTATCTTAAAGCAGACATACTTAAAAATTTTCTTCAAATTGCCATATATTGTACAATGCAATATGAATTAAAAAAGTGGGGTTCACTGTGTTTCTAACAATTTTGGGAAGGTTGGATAGAAAGGAGACTTTTACAACGCAGGATACAAATTAAACCACTGCACTGAATTCATCAAATTAGCAGCCGAAGGTAATTTTAATGACATTTATCAGATCACATTAATTTCTTTTTTCAATTACAAAACCTAAACAGAATCAATACAGCAGTCCACTCTACATATTTTCTGGCTTGGGTAGATGGAGAGTGTTATTATGTTACATTAACCAAAAGGATCTGTATAAAAGCAGGGCAAAGACAAGTGCCTATGTTACTTCTTGACTTGAATTAAAGCACAAACATTTTTACTTGAAAATTATCTGATAACAGTGATCACACAAAAGGTAGCAATTCTGCATCTTTATACTGTGTGATAAATATATATAAAACAAACATTTGTGGGGGATTGTACAAGTCATGATTAATCCAGGACACACTACACACACACACATATATATATACATAGTTAACTTTTTTATAAAAATCCTGTCACAGAAAGAGTTGTTGTAGTAGTTAAAACAAGGTTCATACTTCTTAGAGATGGTAGAATTCCAGTAGTATTTCAAGAACACGTGGAAGGAGAAAATTTTCGAAGAGTGTACCAGGGCCCTGAAGAAAACATCAAAATTCTAGTTTTCAGGAATTCAAAAGTAGTGTGAACCCTATTAAAATACAACATGATTTGTATCCATTTTCACTTAAATAAATAAGACTGTTTATTGTCTATTGTGATAGTACACTTCTGACACTAAGTTTGGCTTACAAAGAAGAAATCCAGAGAACAGTAATCTTCTATGTTTCTATGCAAAAAAATGTTGTTGCAACTGAACTAATTAAAACCAAAGTCAGTCACATTTTTTCAATACAGGACATATTTGCTACTTTTGAGGTCAGCTGTAGAACGTCAAGCAGTCAAAATACCTTGTCTGTAAATTATTCTAAAAGAAAATATATATATTTTGTAAACTTTAATAAACCACAAATCTTGGGGGAATTTTCACAATGGCAGGGACCCAGTTACTATGAGGTTCTTCTATGCATTGATAGAATTATACAGAAACAGACGGGATTGTAAACAATTTCTCCACAACTGCTGTAGAAAATAACATCTGGTATTTTTCCCAACATTTTAGTAAAGATAAGAGCACTGTCATCTTGAACAATTTTAGTATCAAATTTCTCTTCTCTTGGCCAAGCAGCATATGTAATCTTGATACCAACAGCGACCATGAGAATAATACAATGAGGATGACTGCATTGAAGACTCGCTTTTCCACTTAGCGTAGAGGCATAAACATGTCATAGACTCTTTCTTTAAAACAAAGTTAGGGAAAATGAACTGCAGAGTAAAATATGATCCAGACTACCTGCAAATAAAATAATTCAAGAGAATTGTTGCTACATAAATTTGATGGAATACAGAATAAGGGATGATCAATGGTAAAATCAGAGACTTGCCGAGATGCCAAAACCCTAGTCTGAAACCCGAAACTACAACTTGAACAATTTTGGACTTCAAAACATATAAAACACAGAAAAATGAGACCTTGTGACTCATCATAAAGGTTTCTATAATTTAAGACATCAAAATAGTACAAAAAGTTTTCAAGACCCAGGATTTCCAAGGGAAGGAGGAAACTTAAGGAAGTATGAAAGTAAGGATGGATGGACACACAGATGGAAGGAAGGAAGAAAAGGAGGGACCTACTGATGATAAGGTTCACTGTTTGCTCCCAAAAAGATGGCTCTTTGAAGTTTTTAAGTTTGTGAGAAGTCTGGATTGCTACATTTTCTCACAGATGCTGATGAAAGGACCACTATCTAAAAATTTATTTATGACTTAATGAATTTTTATTTAGCACTCACCAGAAATAAAGCAAATGATGTCATAAAACCTTCTTTAGTCAGTTCCCATGGCCCACCATATTCTTCCTCATCAATCTTTTGAAAGTTTGTGAAGTATATATACAAAACGCCAGCATTTATTAACGCAAATCTAAAAAGACAACGACATTGGTTTACAGTTCATTCCTGGTTCCAGGACTGACAATTTTTGCATCATAGTATTATTTGTTGATTAAAAGGAACAGACAAATTGCTTGATGAGCACCAGTCCCATTATCAGCACTTCATACTGATGACTCTTGCTGTGATTATTGGAACATTAATGACCACTGCTATGCATATCTCTTGAGAAGAATGAGCTTGTTTCATAGCAAATATTTTTTTCAACAATGTGTAAAATGTTCACGGCCCTCTATTCCCAGAAATTGTTTTTAGTAAACGTCTACTGCTCAACAATAATACAAGGTACAAGATATAAGGTTCAATTATACNTGCAATGGGAAATCTTATAGTCTTTCAGTTTATAGTGTTCTTACCCCCCATGCTTTAAGTTTACCTTCATAGGCCCTGTCAATCATGAAGAACCAGCGCGATAAATGGATAACAACAGCTTTATGACTGGATGAAACACCGTTGACTGAGCATGCAATGACTGGAACATTTTTACGGTACCCAGGCCACCCCCGCCTGTGCTTTGTAACATCCTCAAAAATGCGAAGAAAAGGCGATTAGGCTGAGAGTCAGTTGTACTTTTCTGTTTTATTCAGGCAACCCAAGAACTCGTTTTGCTGGCTAACATGCATATGCACAATTTGCGTATAATTTCTTTCTTACCTCTTACGATGTGTAACTGTAAAATCGTGGATACGATACTGCCATGCAAAATAATTAGATCCACTGAAACAATTACTTTTCTTGTAGAATCAAGGTTGTCCAAAATTTTGCTCGTGGTAAATGCCGCGATATACCCCAATATTTCTGCATAAGCACAGGCAAGGATTTATTTTTTCAATGCTTTTGAGCACCACTGAAATAGCGACCGATATGGTAAAAGACAAGTTAGTGGAAGCCAGAAATTAACGTGGGTATTACGCATAAAAATTTGAATACTTGAAAGAAAGGAACAGTTCCAGTTGACCTACAGACCCATAAAGGTAACAAAATTTAAAATTAGTCTAGTTCGAAAAGCTTTCTTAACAAGCTTAAGTAAATGTCACACTAACAGTCCTAACAACGGGAACTCGATCTTGTAAACACGTGCCAATGCAGGCTGTCTTGTCACTGAAAACTGAAATTATAGTTTTTATTTATAATCGCCTTCAGGACTTTTTTCGCTGTAATTTTGCTAACATTTACATCATTTTTAAGACTTATGAATTTCTTATCTTGTACATTTGTTGTGGTGCAGAAAAAGGCAAATGGCGTTTTAGAGGAGAGTGTGAGATCACTCAAACGTTAAACACGATCATTTGAATAACCTGATTTAAAAAATGTTGAAATTTAACCTGCAAAATTCGCAATATTTGCAGAGCTTTAAAAATTATAATAAACAGGGATCTTTTGGATGAAATGCTACGTCTTTCTATTGCCTGTTGTTTCCAGTTAAGGCCTTTTTAAAAAAAAAAGTGGAAATCCGGGTGGGAGCGGGGCTCTAGCGGTCTGGAAAATCCAGTCAGAAGGGGGGTCAAAAATGCTTGTCATCCATCGCGGGGTGTGTATTTTTGACTCTGTCTTGGTCCATGAACACGCAAAAAATAAACTTGGCCAATATCCAACCATCTTGGCCTCAGGTTTGAATTGGTCAATCATCTTTATATCATACAACCTAATTCAATTTGATCCGATTGCAAACTTTCAAATATGTAAATCTAAAATATAGAAGAGGGCACTCGCATTCTTCTCTATCAAAACAAACAGACCCTGAAATATGTGTATCAAATTAATTTACAATAGTTATACAACAGAAAATTCTAGAAATGACAAGCCGACACCTAAATAGAGAGACCAAAGGTTTATTGAGCTTATGTACATTCGCAAGCTTTATTAGGTTAAACTGAATTAACTAATAATTTTCAAACCTGAGGGCTTTCATCAAATTCTCTGCTCCGTCTCGCAACTTCGTCTGCTTGAATATTTTCTGATTTAAAACTTGTCTTTTATGTTGTAACTTCCATCTGGCAGATGTCTTGCGAGAGCCTAGTTCACTGTCATCCTAAGTGGCATAAAGTCAAATGTGGATGTATGAATGAGGATTATGAAGCTTAAAGATTTTCCAAATAAAGAAGACTGAGTAAAATAATTTAGCACGCAAAATTGAATATTGTAAAATCAAACTCAGCGACCACTCGCCGGAGCTTAGCTTAGCGTACAGTATATGCTGAAGTTTTGTTTCGTGATAACAGACCCAAATGAGCAAATATTTTTAATGATAGAAGGCTTGAAATTAGGGGGCTTCCCGCCGAAACGACTCAATCACAGAAGTGATATTGGGCATATTATTACTTATTAAAGCTTACGTACCGACAAGAGTGCTGTTTCTCTAAATTAAGAAGTTAAAGTTGTCGCTTACCACTTCAAGCGAGCTCCCACGATCATTTCTCGCCTCACCGTTCTCTGACATTTGAAGTCCGTTCGCCACGGGGAACATGGCGGTCATGTCTCGTTTCAACTAGAGTTTGTCATGAACTACCAGAACAAGATTTTTAAAGCGAGCACGTCAACTATACCGGCGAATCACTTAAAGTCATTGTTTGTGTCAGTTTTTGTTTCCCTGCATGTTTATATTTCCGTTCAAATTCCAACATTAAAGAATCACTCTGAAGTTTCAATCACATTAGCACAACAAAGGTGTGCGGTCAAGAAGCACGTGATCGACATGCTACTGTACACAGCTCTCCCATCCCTCGAGCAGAAAAGCTTGGCAATAGTAGGCCCGCACAGCGTACAAAGTAGGATCTCCAACAATGTTTTTATTAGGAACTTTAGAGTCAGAAAGTCAGAAGATTTGCACATCAAAATGTTACAGCAGTTCAATAAAATGAGAATTGTTTTTAACAATTGAGAAGGACTAAGATCATGAACAAATTGAAAGATTAACTGCTTATGGACATAAATCATTTCCCAAAAGCATCTTCATCAGAGCATTCAAATGAAATTATCTTAAAGCAGACATACTTAAAAATTTTCTTCAAATTGCCATATATTGTACAATGCAATATGAATTAAAAAAGTGGGGTTCACTGTGTTTCTAACAATTTTGGGAAGGTTGGATAGAAAGGAGACTTTTACAACGCAGGATACAAATTAAACCACTGCACTGAATTCATCAAATTAGCAGCCGAAGGTAATTTTAATGACATTTATCAGATCACATTAATTTCTTTTTTCAATTACAAAACCTAAACAGAATCAATACAGCAGTCCACTCTACATATTTTCTGGCTTGGGTAGATGGAGAGTGTTATTATGTTACATTAACCAAAAGGATCTGTATAAAAGCAGGGCAAAGACAAGTGCCTATGTTACTTCTTGACTTGAATTAAAGCACAAACATTTTTACTTGAAAATTATCTGATAACAGTGATCACACAAAAGGTAGCAATTCTGCATCTTTATACTGTGTGATAAATATATATAAAACAAACATTTGTGGGGGATTGTACAAGTCATGATTAATCCAGGACACACTACACACACACACACATATATATACATAGTTAACTTTTTTATAAAAATCCTGTCACAGAAAGAGTTGTTGTAGTAGTTAAAACAAGGTTCATACTTCTTAGAGATGGTAGAATTCCAGTAGTATTTCAAGAACACGTGGAAGGAGAAAATTTTCGAAGAGTGTACCAGGGCCCTGAAGAAAACATCAAAATTCTAGTTTTCAGGAATTCAAAAGTAGTGTGAACCCTATTAAAATACAACATGATTTGTATCCATTTTCACTTAAATAAATAAGACTGTTTATTGTCTATTGTGATAGTACACTTCTGACACTAAGTTTGGCTTACAAAGAAGAAATCCAGAGAACAGTAATCTTCTATGTTTCTATGCAAAAAAATGTTGTTGCAACTGAACTAATTAAAACCAAAGTCAGTCACATTTTTTCAATACAGGACATATTTGCTACTTTTGAGGTCAGCTGTAGAACGTCAAGCAGTCAAAATACCTTGTCTGTAAATTATTCTAAAAGAAAATATATATATTTTGTAAACTTTAATAAACCACAAATCTTGGGGGAATTTTCACAATGGCAGGGACCCAGTTACTATGAGGTTCTTCTATGCATTGATAGAATTATACAGAAACAGACGGGATTGTAAACAATTTCTCCACAACTGCTGTAGAAAATAACATCTGGTATTTTTCCCAACATTTTAGTAAAGATAAGAGCACTGTCATCTTGAACAATTTTAGTATCAAATTTCTCTTCTCTTGGCCAAGCAGCATATGTAATCTTGATACCAACAGCGACCATGAGAATAATACAATGAGGATGACTGCATTGAAGACTCGCTTTTCCACTTAGCGTAGAGGCATAAACATGTCATAGACTCTTTCTTTAAAACAAAGTTAGGGAAAATGAACTGCAGAGTAAAATATGATCCAGACTACCTGCAAATAAAATAATTCAAGAGAATTGTTGCTACATAAATTTGATGGAATACAGAATAAGGGATGATCAATGGTAAAATCAGAGACTTGCCGAGATGCCAAAACCCTAGTCTGAAACCCGAAACTACAACTTGAACAATTTTGGACTTCAAAACATATAAAACACAGAAAAATGAGACCTTGTGACTCATCATAAAGGTTTCTATAATTTAAGACTTCAAAATAGTACAAAAAGTTTTCAAGACCCAGGATTTCCAAGGGAAGGAGGAAACTTAAGGAAGTATGAAAGTAAGGATGGATGGACACACAGATGGAAGGAAGGAAGAAAAGGAGGGACCTACTGATGATAAGGTTCACTGTTTGCTCCCAAAAAGATGGCTCTTTGAAGTTTTTAAGTTTGTGAGAAGTCTGGATTGCTACATTTTCTCACAGATGCTGATGAAAGGACCACTATCTAAAAATTTATTTATGACTTAATGAATTTTTATTTAGCACTCACCAGAAATAAAGCAAATGATGTCATAAAACCTTCTTTAGTCAGTTCCCATGGCCCACCATATTCTTCCTCATCAATCTTTTGAAAGTTTGTGAAGTATATATACAAAACACCAGCATTTATTAACGCAAATCTAAAAAGACAACGACATTGGTTGACAATTCATTCCTGGTTCCAGGACTGACAATGTTTGCATCATAGTATTATTTGTTGATTCAAAGGAACAGACACATTACATGATGAGCACGAGTCCCATTATTGGCACTTCATACTGATGACTCTTGCGGTGATTATTGGAACATTAATGACCACTGCTACGCATATCTCTTGAGAAGAATGAGCTTGTTTCATAGTAAATATTTTTTTCAACAATGTGTAAAATGTTCACGGCCCTCTATTCCCAGAAATTGTTTTTAGTAAACGTCTACTGCCCAACAATAATACAAGGTACAAGATATAAGGTTCAATTATACTGAACATTTACAAATGTTAACTATAGCTTTTTTTACAGTAAGGACACTCGAACTATGAACACTTCACATTTTTTTTGTACATCTTTTTTTTACAACTATTAGAATAAAGCTTCTTGGTATAATGTATAATTTTAGCACTATAATGTTAGCACTAAAAAATATGTACAAAAAAAGTGATTTACTATGACAATGCCACCACTTATGGGCATGCTAGTCAAAACCTTAATAGGGCTGAGGAGATTCCACAGGTCAATTTAGATCATACCATCCTAGTGTACTTAGAACATCTATTGTGTTTTATACTTACAGTCCTATGGCAAGAATTCCTTTCAAAGGCAGTATACCCCAAATAATGCCTAAGAGAATTGCTAAAACTTGTCGAAACCAGTATATTACATCAAGGAACTCATCCTAGTGAGAAAAGAAGTAGCAGAAATGCAACATTTAACAAATAGATTCCATGTAGCCATACGTTATTTTAAAATAATTTTCACAGATTACATCAAAATATGGTAAGAACAAACAAGTGTTAATACTGCTGTTCTTACCACATTTTGACATTTTCAATGATCAATTACTGAACAGACGCATGACAACATGGAATCTACTTGTTTACATAATAAAGAAATAAACAAATGTTATTGACATCATCTATGCCCAGTATGTCCTACAAAAGACCTTTTAAGCTTGGGCAGTTTGTTAA